ATAACATGTGTACTTAAATACAAAATTACTATAAAATTTGCAAAAATAATTAGACTCTTCACAGATCAAACCACCTAACGGACCTAACGGACTGACTGCCCATCCCTACCTAGTAAAAGGAATCCTCAGAGTGAATGCTTGCTCCTTTTATTTCTATGATGTTATTCACATTTAAGTCTCCAAGGATTTTGCCCAATTTGGGCTTCTTAGTCTGTGAGCTCCGAGGAGTCAGAGACAAAGGTAGACAACAAATGTTTCCTGAATGAATGAATTAATTAATGATCGAGGCTCATTTTGCACAGAAAAGCACATAGACATATGCCACCTGTCAATATCATTTAATAAATGCTTTTCTGACTGTCATAGTGGTCAAGATAAACAGACTTTGGATGTAGGGGCCTATATGGAGAATTCACAGTGGTAGAGATAACATAGGATTTTGAAAAAGAAGACTTGTCCAAGTCCTACCTCATTGATGTGGTGAGAAATTCACTTTTCCAATATTCGTTTTCTCTCATGTAAAAGCAGAAAATAACAAGAGGATCCCCGAACCCTGTGGTCCTCGTGCTTTATACTAATAAAGAAGGATGGAAGAGGGAAGACAGCTTTTCCACATGCAGCCACAAACTGGAGATGGAGAAAGACCCTCCACTGATCCAAGTTGGGACTGATTATCTGGCAGGGGCACAAAGTTTAAACAATGTTAGTTGAGAAAACTGCGAAGTCAGAAACATCTGTTTCCAGCCAGCCTCACATTTTCTGTCAGGGCCTTTTTCTTCCGCTGGCTGGCTCTACTCAAGTGCTGGGTGCCAAGTGTCATCCCTCCTGTGAGGGCCTGAGGGTCTTGTGAAAAGATATCTTTTTTCCCACTTAAGGCTCATGAATATAGGCTCAACATTCTAACCTTTCTCAAGGAGTTATTTCAGGTAAGAGGTAACCTCTTACAAATGAGAAGCCTCCTGGACCTGAAAGAATAGTCCCCCAGAACTCAAGTGCATTGATTGGGCATGATGATTTTGAGAGGGAGAGCCCTCCTGACTCTTCTCCAATCAAGTCTCCTAACAGACTGACCACCCATCCAGCCTGTGGACCACCCTAGTCGAGCACAAGACGTGTTAGTGAAGGAATGACATCATTGCTTCTGGACTCCTGTCCTCCTTGAAGTTAATCACATTCATTGTTCTGCAGCTCAGCACCCTGAGCCTCACTTGTCTTTCTTTTCCTCTTGCTTCTTGTCCAACTTTGCCCCCAAAACAGTCTGATGCTCATCCAGGGTGCAGAGAGCACTTGATGCTGCTGCCACTGGCCCCTGTCACTCCTTGTCAACTCCAATCACCCTCATTTTACTTCCTCTCCACAGTCCATTAACAGCAGCTCTCAGAATCCTGGGTGGTTACCTGTAGTCCCTGACCCTTGGCCTCAGGTGTCATGTAACAAGAGAGTGACTCTTGATGGAAAAGAATGAGCAAACTTCAGCCTCTCTTCATGCCCTTTCACCTTCTAAGGAGACAATTCTTGAAAGGGTGGAAAATCCTGAGAAATTTTATACATATATATTTTTAAGTTAATTCTGCAGACTGCTGTGTTGGTGACATTTCCTTCAAACTGCAATAACTAACCTGTCACAGCCCTACAAATGCTGACAATACAGCACCATGTGGGGTTGACTTAATAAACCTCATTTACATTCATTTTGATTCACTCAGGCGTTGAAAAACATTTCACAGGAAAAACTAGGAACCTCTCCAAGACGACATGATGTTTGCTGATATGATATGAACAGACTTAATAGGCAGCATATATGAAAACATGCATTTCTTAGATTATTAGCAAACTCAGTACTTTATTTTTCTAAAAGCATTTAAAAATTATTCCTTTGAATGCTGGGCTTCTAAGCCGTGAAATGTGTCAACTTTTACAGAGTCTTTCTGTTGAGTATGTAGAGAAGAACATACTCAACTCTCTTCTTTTAGCTGTGAACTTGGGAAAATTTTTAACCTCTCTGTATCGTAGTTGCTTCAGCTTAAAAATACCTGTTTACCTAAGTGTATCATACTTGCAATGGTGCTGCCTGATAAACATTCCCCTAACAGTAACTTACACTTAGAGGCATTTATTTATCATTTGTAGGTACTTGTGGTTCTACTGGGCTTAGATACAATCAGTCACATGTAGCTCCAGGCTGTGGGTTGGATTTAGGTCTGCTTTACATGTCTTCTCATTCTCCTTGGATCAGCAGCTACATGAAGCATGTTCCTCTGAAGTGGATGGAGAAAGCAGGAGAGCCAAAACAAATCACAAATGCACATAGAGGTGCCTCTACTTATGTCATGTTTGTTTACATTGCATTGAACAACATAAGTCACATGGCCAAGCCCAATGTCAATGGGCGTGAGGATGAATTCTCCCTCTACTCTAATGGAAAGCACTTCGAGGTCACAAGAAAAAAGGAAGGAGTAAAGAATTGGGAACACCTACCATACCACCTCACATAGACATTTTTTAAAAGGAGATGATGGCTGGGTGCGGTGGCTTATGCCTGTAATCCCAGCACTTTGGGAGGCTTAAGTGGGTGGATCATCTGAGGTCAGGAGTTCAAGACCAACCTGGTCAACATGGTGAAACCCCATCTCTACAAAAATGTAAGAACTAGCCAGGCATGATGGTGGGTGCCTGTAATCCCAACTACTTGGGAGGCTGAGGTAGTCGAATCGCTTGAACCCAGGAGGTAGAGATTGCACTGATCCGAGACAGCACCATTGTACTGCAGCCTGGGCAATGGAGTGAGACTCTGTCTCAAAAAAAAAAAAAAAAAAAAAAAAAAAAAAAAGTGATGGTCTTGCCTCTCACCAAAACAGAGAATTAAAAAAAAAAAAAAAAAAAAAAAAAAAAAAAAAGGGAGATGATGTATTTATTTCAGAGCTCTGTAAATTGCAAAGTATTATGCAAATATTAGGTCTTGTGTGAAAGTTCTACACAAGAATGCTTTCTCCTAATGTGATTATTCTCTGGTTACCTTATGTCTTTGCATGCCATCTTCCTAGCCACCCAGACTTGACACTGTGTCATCCTGTTTCATCCTCCCTTTCCCTCATCTGCCATCTTATATCAAAACTGGGGAGTCTATCCAGAGATGATACCTTATCAGCCTTCTCCCTTCGTTTTTTCTGCGTCTTATCTCTCATCTCCTCTGTCTTCCCTCACCCCAAAGTCTTCTTGCTTTAGTCAGTTCTCAACACCACTATTAGGATTGTTTCCTTATGTGGCTTTCATTGTGCCATGTCTCCGCCTCAGGTTGGGTTTCCTAGAGGCAGAGGTTGAGACAGCGATTCTTGTACAAGTGATTTACTGAGGAAGTGCTCTCAGGAGAAGCCTCTCAGGAGAAGCCACTCAGGGAATGAGGGAAGCAGATCACAGGGGAAGAAGGTAGGCACAGATGTGGCTGCAGGAAGTGTCTAGCCTCAGCCTAATTGCATAGGGAGCTCTGGCGCATTAATTGCACCAAAGAGGTTGTTCCATCCAGAGGCAGGAAGACAGCCTATTTATTACTTTTCAGTCCATCACTGTTCACAAACCATCCCTTCCAGAAGCACAGAAAATCCTCTGCAGGAGAGTCTGGTATAAGCCATCTGCAGTCATTACCTACATCACCTCAGGGAAGGGTGCACTGGCCTGGTAAAGGGGCTTCCTGTGAGGCACCAACGGCATCTGCTACCCTCTCCTATCGAAAGTGTTTGACAATTCCTCATTGTCCTCAGATTAAAGTTTCAGTTCTTTGATTTGTCATTTAAGTCCCTCTGTAATGTTACTTTTCTTTTCTTTATTTTTTGAGACAGAGTCTCACTCTGTCACGCAGGCTGGAGTGCAATGGCATGATCTCTGCTCACTGCAGCCTCCACCTCCTGGGTTCAAGCGATTCTCCTGTCTCAACCTCCCATTTTTAAGCTACTTCTTTATCTTAATTTTTACTGCTGTATTCCATGGAGCTTCAGCTCTAGCTAAACCCAATCTCTCACTCTTCTGGCCTCTGAGCCTTTAATTATGCTACTTCCCCATCTGAAATGCACTTTCCACTCCTTCCTATACTTCCTCACTTTTGACATCTCACCAGAACTGCCACTTTCTCTAAGAAGTTCAGGAAGAGAAAATAGAAAATGAAGAGAGAGACATCACTAAAGAAATAACATAAGAGAAGCTCCCAGGAAGGAAGCATGTGCCATTCCAGAGTGTATGGATCTACCAAGTGCTCAATTATATCTAATATGGTGAAATGTTGGAACACTTGGAATGAAGAGAAGCTCCCAAGATAGAGAGGTTACACACAAAGATTTGGAAGTCAGAAAGCAGGAAATAGCAATAGCAAAAATATCTTAACAGTTATGAAATTAAATACCCAACACAACTATCAAATCTTAGACATTCACATTCTAAAAAACAAACAACAACCCCCAAATGAACAAATAAAAATCCCAGTTCCACAGAAGGCCACAAGAAGATGCAACTGACCAAAACAAGGAAATAGAAAAAAATGGCATCTAGTAAACTGGGAATTCAGCAGAGAATAGGAACAAATAGAATTCACAGAATGATGTTAAGGGAATGTCTGGCTTACTACTGGCCTACACATGTGAGGAATAAAACGATTCGATGCAGGAAGAACAGCCCCGATAGAACAGGCAGAACAATTTCTGGAACCCACACAGGGCTACAAATAACTTAAACCCCTCCAGCCATTTTCTATATTGTTGCTTTTTGGTTCTACTTTCTGGGAAGTTTTCTCAAGTTTAGTTCCAACACTTCAGTTAATTTTTAACATTTCTACAATTATATTTTAAATGTATAAAATCTCTTTGTTGTTCTCTGAATATTCCTTTTCATGTCTTCTCTTTCTCTGTCTTAATTAATCTCGTCTAAGACTTCTATATTGTTTAACCTTTTCAAACAGTCATCTTGGTTTGTTAATTTTCTCTCTCTCGTTTATTACTTTCCTCATGTGGCAGTTCAAGTTCAAACTTGAACACTTGTACAAAGACTCCTTGGATGATCTGCTTGTGATATTGGAGCATTTCCTCCTTGCTGGCCGACACAATGGCAAGCTTTGTCAGTGAAGAGTGCCGAAGAGACACTGCAGGAGGAAGGGGCTTCTCTCCCAGTTCCAGGGTAAGTTTCTTCCCGCTGGCTTACGTGTCACTCAGCTGTTGTACAGGACACTCAGTGAAGCTCACCCCCAGCAAGTTTTGGTGGCACTTCTGTAGGCACTTTACCTGTGAGTTGTATGGATACTCCTTTTTCCTTCCTTTCATGTGATGAGTTCAGCAGCAGCCCCCACAGGTGGCTTCCAGGACACTCTTGGGAACATTCCAGTGAGAAGAGTCTTGCCTACCATGCATGGCCACTGGCACTCTGGTGTGAGTTTTCCTGCTTGCCACTTCTCTCCTGCACATCCCTGACCACCAATTTGCACAGTAACTGTGGACCCACCTCTGGCTCAGGGCAACCCAGCAAACTTCCCACTTTCGGATAGTGGGTTGTATCCAAATCTCTTCAACAAGGTCTGAATTTCACATCTGAGATCTTGGGTGATAGCTAATTGATCGAGATGTTCTGCAGAATGAAATCGATGGGCAGCTGCTTAGAATATTTTTTTAATCTATATAGCAGAAAATTTTGGCCAAAAACTTGACTCACATAATCAGTTTCCGAACCTAAGTCAATGCACAGACCCAGGGCCTCTTGAGTGAACGGCACACTTGAGAAGGGACCTTGTTGCATTTTCACAAGTAGGCACTGTAAATCTTCTTCCAAGCCTAATCCAAGAAGATCCCAAATCTTCTTCCAAGCTAATACTATGCAAAATCTATATAAATAGTTGCTATACTGTATGCCTAGGGAATAATGACAAGAGGAAAAGTCTGTTTATGTTCAGCACAATTTTTTTCTGAATAGTTTTGATCTGTGGTTGGTTGAATACATGGATGCAGAACCCACGGATGGTGAGGACTGATTGTACTCAGAAACTTGTAGTATCCTCATGTTGGCTCTTGGACCCATTGGATAGAGGCCATCATGGTTGGAAAGGCTAAATGAAAAACCCTTGGAACTTCTCCTCCCTACCAAGGTAATAAATCAGAGGCAATATTGCATCTTTAGGGGACATTTCAGAGATTTATACCATCATCCAAGCACTGAAAGCAACTGGAGTGGTGGTACCTATTGCATTCCTATTTAATTCACCTGTTTGGCCCATGAAGCAGTTGGATGGGTTCTGGAGAATGTGGACTGTCATAAACTGGTTCAGGTGGCCCAAATGCAGCTGTTATGTCTTTACTGGAGCAAATCAGCAAAACTGCTGGCATTTGGTTTGTAGTAATTGATGTGGCTCATGCTATTTTTTCTCCATACAAATTTGAAGGGACCACCAGTCACAGTTTGCTTTTACCCAGCAGTGCCAATAGTATATCTTCACAGTGTGGCCTCAGAGCTGTATCAGTTCTCCTGCCCTCTGCCACAGATAGTCTGCAAAGTTCTTGATTATCTTGGCATTCCACAAAACGTCACATTGTTCATTGATGGCAGTATGCTGACTAGATCTTGGGCAAGAAAGTAGAAAGTATTTTATTTTAAAAATTCATTTAGTATTTCTTTAAAACTCTTTTTAAAATATTAATTTTAGTTTTGATTCAGGGAGTACATGTGCATGTTTGTTTCAAGGGTATATTGTGTGATGCTGAGGTTTGGGTTTCTATTGATCCTGTCGCCCAGATAGTGAACATAGTACTCAAGAGGAAGTTTTTCAGCCCTTGCTGTCCACTCTCCCTTCCTCCTTTTGGAGTCCCCAGTGTCTGTTGTTTCCATCTTTATGTCTGTGTGTACCCAGAGTTTAGCTCCCACTTATAAGTGAGAACATTTGTATCTGTTTTTTTTTTTTTTTCATTGTTGTTGTTGTTACTGGATTAATTCACTTAGGATAGTGTTCTCCAGCTATATCCATGTAGCCTCAAAGGACATGATTTCATTTTCTTTTATGGCTGCATAGTATTCCATGGTGTATATGTACCCCATTTTCTTTATCCAACCTACCGTTGATGGGTACTAAGTATTTTAGATGCCTCAGCAAGTCATATGCAAACTATAGGTTGGTTTAGCAGCACACTCATGGGCAGCATCTTTGCATGTTTTGTCGTTATTTCAGTGGCAAGTTTCCTGCCAGCCAGCCTCAGTTTTCTTGCCCCCTCATGAGGAATTTCCTGCTTGACAATCTGGACCTGTGGTTCCGTGCCTGACAACACTGGCCTGCCAGATTGGGACAAGCTCTGGTCTAGGGAAACCCAGAGAACTCTGGCATCGAGTGGACTGCTATCTCCCCACTCTAAGGAGGTCTGAATCCCAGCCTTGTAGAGGAGCCCCTTCCATTTCTGTTGCTTCTTTGGGTACTCTTCCTCAGACCTGGAGCATTCTTTAGAGGTCTCCTTGTCCCCACCATAATAGGTAATTCCTTGCAAAAAGCTAATAATTACCTTTAGTAAATATCCCTTGTTCAAACTACTTGGTTTTCTGTTTCTCCTGACTATACCATGACTAATACACTTACTTTTATTACTTACTTTCTTGTTTTTCTTTGGATTTAATCCACTCTTTATTTCTAATTAATTTTCAATCCTTGGCTTACTTGTTTTTTATCCTTCTTGTTTCCTAATAAATGTATTCAAATTTGTAAATTTCCTTCCCAAAACTATTAGTTTTGTATCATAAATTTGACATGATTTTCTTATTTAGCTCTAAATAGTTCTTATTTTATTTATTATATCAACTTTTCAACTCAATAATTATTTAGTAATATACTACTTCATTTCCAAAAATTTAAAGTTTTAAGAAAGATTGCTTGGTCATTGATATCAAATTTTACTGTATGATGGTTTAAAAGCTTAGTTGATATAAGACTGATTTTATAAAATTGATTTGGTTTCCTTTATGATCCAATATACGATTTAGATTTATAAATGTTCTGGGGGAACTTGCAGAGTTTTGTAAGTGCTGAAACATTGTTTTGTTGTTCAGATCTTTTACATTTCCATTCATTTATTTTGTCTCCTTGATCTGTTTGTTTCTGGGAAGGGCCTGTTGAAATCTTCAATTGGTATTTTTGATTTACCTTTTTCTCCCTCTAATATATGTCAGTTGTTGCTTAGGTCAATATTTTGAGACTGTATTGTTAGGGGTGTTTATGTTCAAAATAGTTAGCATATGATATCTTACTTTAACCCTTAGGATTTTCTGTTTCAATATTAAATTCAACTTTTTCTGGTATTAACAGTGTTAACCAGTTTTTTGGGGGGGCTTATGTTTTTGGAGTATTTTTTTTTTCAATTTTTACATTTTTAACCTTTCCATTCTTTTAGTTCTAAGTATATTTCTTGTAGACACTATGTTGCTAGATCTCTTTTGAAACCCAATCTGAAACTTAATATTTAGATTGGTGAGTTTAACCCACTTAAACTTACAGTAGCGCCTATTATGTTAGGATTTATCACATCTTATTTCATATTTGCCATTTGCTCTGCTGAACTCTTCCACCACTTCTCCTGCTTTCAAATCAATGTCTTTCATCTTTCTTTAATTTTAGAAAATACATCTTTATTTTAAATTTTGTATTATAAAATATAGTATACATAGGTATGAGTTTATGAAAAACATATACCCACAGTTTGAATACAATTTTTAAAAAACTTACCCAGAGACCCACTACCAGGATCATAAAACAGAATGTCACCAACTACTCAGAAGCACCCTGGGTGCATTTCTCTGTCACATCCCACTCGGTCTTCTCCTGCAAATGAGCATTGTCTTAAAATTTTGTTTTTTGGTTTCAGTTTTTTACCACCTAATAGGTATTCCTCAACAACATATTATTTAGTTTTGCTTAATTTTGACCTTGATATGAATGCAATATTCTTTTCTTTAAAATATCTGCATATTTAGAGTACTACGTGTTTGAGGTCTATCCATGTCAATAATTAAATCTATATTTCATTTATTTTCATTGCTGTATATGCGAGTGTATGATTATACCACAATTTATTTATTCATTGCATTGTCGATAGATATTTGGTTTTCTCCCAGATTTTTCCTATGAAGGATAGTGCTGCCATAAGCATTCTTTTACATATCTTTTGGTGCATGTGTTTGAGAATTTTTCTAAGGTAAATGCCTAGTGGTGGAATTGCTAGGATGTAGATTATGTGCGTATTTAACTTTAGTTTGGCATGTTTAATGCCAAAGTATTTCCCCCAGGTTGAACCAGGTTATATCTCACTGACAGTTCCTATTGCTTTGAGTTTCTGTTGCTTTGCATTGCGGTAACACTTGGCACTTTGAGAATACTAAATTTGGTTCACATCTTTATTATTGCTTCAAAAACTTATTTTCTAACTGGGTGCTGTGGCTCATGCCTATAATCCCAGCACTTTGGAGGCCAAAGCAGGTGGATCACAAGGTCAGGAGTTCAAGACCAGCCTGGCCAACATGGTGAAATCCCGTCTCTACTAAAAATGCAAAATTAGCCGGATGTGGTGGCACACACCTGTAGTCCCAGCTACTTGGGAGGCTGAGGCAGGAGAATCGCTTGTACCCAGGATGCGGAGGTTGCAGTGAGCTAAGATTGTGCCATGCACTTCAGCCTGGGTGACAGAGTGAAACTCCGTCTTAAAAAAGAAAAAAAAAAGGCAAGGGAGAGAATTCAAAAATTTATTTATTTTCTTCCTGTGTTATCCTCTCATTCCTATTTACAGTTATTGACCCTTCTTTTTGACAAGTTTCTTAACTTTAAAAAATTGTTTTCCATCTCCTGCTCCTTTCAGGAAAAGCTCTTCTGTTACATCTTACAACTCCTTAATTCTTTTTTTTTTTTTTTTTCTGTATCCATCATGTAAATTGCATATATTTGATTCTTTATTTCCATTATCATCTATAATATTTCCACTTGGTTCTTTCTTTCTGATTTCTTGTTCTTGTTTCACAATGCTTATATCATCCCTTGTATCTTTAAGTATTTGGTAAACCTATTTAAAATTCTTGATCTGCTTACTCTAATCATTTGGCTTTAGATGATAGACATTTTTTATTTAGTTGCCTTTCTTTTGAGTGGTTGTACTCCTCAAGTG